ATTTCAAAATGTCTAAATTATGATCAGTGGGATAGAATGGGGATGCATTATGTATAACAAGGGGGAAATCTGGTAAAGAACAGAATGGTCAAAGCTTCTCAGGTGAGCGATGTGGCCCATGGGCCTCTTGTTATGAAAGTGCTATTGAGCTTTAGCAAGTGGCCCTATCTGGACACGCCTTATTATAATTGATCAGTTCTCAGATATACAGTGATTTACCGGTATTATTGTCACCATGAAATCAGTATTTACAGTTGCAATTACCTAGTTAGTAATCATAAGATATTGGTTTGCCAGTTTTTAAATTCTGGTGTTCCAATGATGTGAAGTTGCAGTGTGTTAGCATGTTAATTTCAACGGACTGCCACTCCAATGCAGCTTTAAACAACACGCTGCTGTGTTTACACAAAATAAAATATCATGCAAACACAACTCTAAACAATCTGTTGAGTGTTAGCTTCACTGCATGTTGGATTCAGTGTGCTGGCATATTATCACTGACGTACATGCTAGCACATTGTCACCTCGTGCTAGTATGTTGTCATAAATACTCTAGCACATTATCCTAAACCCACTAGTGCATGATTACTATGCATTTGTATGTTGTCTTATTAGGGGATAGCATAAATGACTGCCTTAATTGGTGTAAACTTCTTTTAATTGATGAAAGAGTACATTAAAATTTACAAATTATACACAGAAAATGTGACAATATCTTATCTCTCAATTTGATAATCTAATTTATAATCTCATGAATTGCACTTTTTATTAGTAAAAGAATTATAAATTAAAAAATTCAATTTCTTTTGGATAGGTTTGACTCATCTGAATACTGAATTTTGATACCAAGCATGACCATGATTTGCCAGAAGATCATCTGTTTGGATGTGACATGGAATAAACAGCATAGTCAAAATAAGTCAATTTTTGGTTGTGAAGACAATTTTTAAACACACTGTGTATCATTTTTAGCTCACCTCAACGAAGTTGGGGGAGCTTATGTAATACCCTCGGCGTCGGCGTCGGCGTTGGCGTCCCAGGTTAAGTTTTTTGGAGCAGTTTTCTTTTTAAGTACTTCTATGTCCTATATTGATTAGACATGCATGGAAGATGGTTCTAGTGTGTTTCATTGTACCAGTCAAAGTTTCAGATGCTGCAATTTCAGCAAAGAAATGACCAGGTTAATGTTTTTGGAGCAGGTTAACATTTTTGGTGCAGTTTTTGGTGTGGGTTTCATTTCCAAGTAGCTATAAGCCCTATGTTGACCAAACTTGCATGGATGGTACATCTAAGGATGCATACTACCAGGCTTGCTTCGGATGCTGAATCTGACCTACATTTTCTGGTTGAGTGAACAGGTTAAAGTTTTTGGTGTAGGTTTCATTTCCAAGTAACTATAAGCCCTTTGTTGACCAAACTTGCATGGATGATACATCTAAGGATGCATACTACCAGGCTTGCTTCGGATGCTGAATCTGACCTACATTTTCCGGTTGAGTGAACAGGTTAAAGTTTTTGGTGCAGGTTTCATTTCCAAGTAACTATAAGCCCTATGTTGACCAAACTTGCATGGATGATACATCTAAGGATGCATACTACCAGGCTTGCTTCGGATGCTGAATCTGACCTACATTTTCCGGTTGAGTGAACAGGTTGAAGTTTTTGGTGTAGGTTTCATTTCCAAGTAACTATAAGCCCTATGTTGACCAAACTTGCATGGATGATACATCTAAGGATGCATACTACCAGGCTTGCTTCGGATGCTGAATCTGACCTACATTTTCTGGTTGAGTGAATGGGTTAAAGTTTTTCGTGAGTGATTCATTTCCAAGTAACTATGAGTTCTTTAATGACCAAACTTGCACGGACGATACATCTTAGGATGCACACTTATGGACTTGCTTCGGATGCTGAATTTGACATACTTTTTTCAGATAATAGACCAGGTAAAAGTTATGGGTGCAGGTCTATTACCAAATAACTATAAGGCTTATATAACATTGTTTAAACCAAACTTGCACAAATGTTGCATCAAGAGATGAAAAATCTCAAATTTGCTTCAGATGCTGGATTTTGATTACATTTTCATGAAGAAGAACTAGTTTAAATTTGTTATGTAGGTCTATTTCAAAGTATTAAAATTGCTTAAATATTTTCATTTTTGGAATGTGCACTTTTTGTTGGTTAATTGTGTGACTTTGCCTTACTTAAAGACAACATTCGTTGAGGTGAGCTCTGTAATCTCTGATTACCTATGTTTAAATTTTGATTTGACAACATAAATCCACAAATATGAACATATCAATTGCTCTCAGTTTTTCAAGTGAAATAGTTTTTGTAACAGAAATACATGTACCAGTAATTACATTGGAATAAATGTTATTTTTAAATATAATATTTTGTTTGTGTAGCATGTTGACCTCTTTATTAAGGTCTTCCCTTTCAAAGTGTAGACTTACTTATTCTAATGATTAAGATAGGTCCTCTGTCTTCAGCAGGAATATAAGATCTTGAAATACATGTATGTGTATTTTTTACAGTATAATAAAAAAAATTTTATTTTGGCACATACAGCTAATGAAAGGCATAAACATGTGTATGATTCCAAGGAATTCAGAACATAAGGCATGTACATGTAGTTTTCTAAAACAAGATTGAAGAGATGTCCAGTCGCATTTCAATGTCAACTGCAAAACTGTGCCTGTTGCATACTTATTAGCCCATCTGAGCTAAAAGAACCAGTAAATTATTTAAAAACATAATTATGTTCCCCAAACGAAGTTGGGGAACATATTGTTTTTACTCTGTTTCTTATTATTATTATTATTATTCCTGGGAAAATTTTGTCCTTGAGTGATCTTGTAAACTACACATCCGACTAAGGTAAAATGTGTTTAGGGTCAATAGACATGTCATGTAGATTTGCCGAACAAAGGTCATTTTGCGCGCACGTGCTTGCAAGAGCGCGCACGTGCAACATGTAAAATGACCGATTTAATTGATATAGGCGTAACTTTTTAAATTTTTGATGAAATGCTTTGAAACTTACAATGTAAGGATATATTAGTAATATAGACAATACGACAGGGTCAAAATAGCAAGATCTCACGCGCATGCACGTGCCCTTTGCTCTGATTGGCTGAAACTAAAGTTTCAATATCTTTCTTGTTTTTTAAGGAAATCCTTTGAAATTTTGAACATAGCCATGCATTAGGATATCCTACAACATGATATATAGAAATTATCATGAAAACACGTGCATGCACGTGCGCTGCAATCTGATTGGCTGAAAATTTAAAAAGCTATAACTCCCTTGGTTTTCAAACAAACAGGATGGGATTTGGAACATAGATATATAAGATGGACTTCTACAAAAAGGTATGGTCGCCATGCACATGCATACACGTGCATGTTCGTGAGCTGCAATCTGATTGGCTGAAACTTTAAACAGTTATAACTTCCGTGGTTTTCAACCAAACAGGATGGGATTGGGAACATAGATATATATAATGGACATCTACAAAAAAGTATGGTCACCATGCACATGCATACATGTGCGTGTACGTGCGCTGCAATCTGATTGGCTGAAACCTTAAACAGTTTTAACTCCCTTGGTTTTCAACCAAACGGGATGGGATTTATAACATAGATAGATTTAATGAACTTCTACAAGAAGGTATGGTCACCATGCTCATGTATGCACGTGCGTGCACGTGAAATGGGTAAAATCAAAAATACACTTGAATTAGCGAATTTTTTAATTCTTTTAAATTAAATACTTTAATTTAATATTTAGTATATTAAAATATATAGATTGTGTAGACAAGATGATATGGTCATTACGTACATGCCTTCACATGCGCACACATGCAATGCTAAAATTTGAATGAGCATGGTACATTTCTGGGTAAACATTGTTAAAATCTCAAATGCATAGAGTTTGTGTTAATAAATGAAGCTTACAGGGAATATGGCACCAAAAGGGAGTTGGGGAGCGTTTGGGGAACATCTGTAACGGTCCCCGTTACAATTAGCACTAGTTTTATCCATTATCATCATTGTCTAAAATTTCACAATATCATTTTCCAGAACCAAAGTGAAACTTGGCACAGAGCATCCTTTGTGTAGGGGATTCAAATTGTTCTTATGCAGGGCAATACCTTCAAAGAGATTTGTTTCTTTAATGTTGTAAATGTATTATATTTAGCTTGTACAATATTTGGTGGAAATTGACTTTTGAATAAGTTAGCGTAGATATTCTTATTTATGTTTATGTACAAGACTTTTAGCTTTGTACTTGATTTAGTGATTGCTGCATTCCGCCAAAGCGGCTAAAAAAGAATACACGGCCATATGTAATATGTTCACAATATACCTTTCAGAGAATTTTACACTCCTATTGAGGTACCACCAGTTGCTAGTGGAAAGCTTCAAATTCGAAACATACACAACACATTTCTGTGCGTTTATTATAAAAGTATTGTTCTACTTACTGATTGCAACTAATGAAGATTGTTCATCATTATTGTAAATACATTTGAATTTTTTGAATTATTATATAATTTGTTTATTTTATTTACCTAGTTATATTGTATATTAAATGATTTTAAAGCCATTTTTAAGATGGTAATGTAGCAAACACTTATGTTTCTGTAGTATGACACGTTTCACAAACATGATTGCAACAAACATGATATATCCGATATCAAAAGTCATAATATTGGAAGTTAAACTGTTGTGGATACGATTTCAAGAATGCTGTTAGAGAGAGTACCCTTTAGACCTCATGCTCACACCAAATTAAAGAATTCAAGTAAGGGTTTTTGAGACAAATCGAAAAAGTGAATGTTAGCAAAGTTGACAATCTAGACAGAAACATTTAATCTTTTGCTTATCACTGGGAAGGAAGACCCACTCGTTGCTTTGCAACGAGCTTTGCTCTAGTTCCCTTTTATTATTCCAACCGATTTTGTGCACGCAAGTTCTCAGAAACAACTCGTCCAAATTTCACGAAACTTTCAGATCTGGTAGGTATTGATCTGAACCTTATTGGAAATTTTTTTGATTGATGACGTCACTTCTTATCTCGAGATATTTAGGATTTTCTGATTTTCAGAGGATCGGCTTGTCCAGGAAACTCCTCCGAAACGACTTAAGATATCGACTTAAGATTTTCAGTGAAAATAAAGGAAGGTTTGGTGAGTTGTAATTGGGTCTCCAAATCTTGTTGGCGCGAAAGGCGCCGGAGCTCGGTAGGGCCCGAAAAAATGTCTCAGAAATATCTCACAAAATTTGACACATTTTGGTTCATATCTTTATACCTGTTCATAATTTGTTAAAGCATATTGAGGAAAAAATGTGCAAAATCAAAAGGCCTTTCATTTGATGTCAAAAAATTGGGGCTGACCCCTCTAATTAGGGGCTCAGAGGGGCCAGAAGTCTTTTATCTATAACTCTCTAATGATCAATATTTTGTTATACATTACAGAAGCAAAGATGTTTATATTACAGATTTGCAACAAAGGATGATAAAATTTTGATCATATGTTACGTAATTAGGGGTCACAAGGGGCCAGAATGTCAAATCTTTGACGCTTCATATCTCGAAAAGGGTGAATATTTTGATAAGCAATATTGAACAAAAGATGGTCGGAATAATGTTCTAAACAATATGTAGACTTTGAATTTTTGTAAAACGGCCCCATTAAGGACTTCTAGGAGTGGCCCCTAAATATTTATATAAAACATATCTCCTAAACGAAAAGAAATCTCTGAATAGGTGTAGGACAAAAAGTCTTTGAAATCACAAGACCTTTCGTTTGATATCAAGAAAGGAGGCTGACCCCTCAAATTAGGGGCTCAGAGGGGCCAGAAGTCTTTTATCTATAACTCTCTAATGATCAATATTTTGTTATACATTACAGAAGCAAATATGTTCATATTACCAATTTGCAACAATATATGATAAAATTTTAATCATATGTTACGTAATTAAGGATCACAAGGGGCCAGAATGTCAAATCTTTAATGCTTCATATCTCAAAAAGGGTATATATTTTGATAAGCAATATTGAACAAAAGATGGATATATAAATGTGCTAAACAATATGCATAGTTTGAATTTTTGTAAAACGGCCCCATTAAGGACTAGTAGGAGTGGCCCCTAAATATTTCTATTTCGCATATCTCCTAAACGATAAGAAATCTCTGAATAGGTGTCTAACAAAATGTCTTTGAAATCACAAGACCTTTCGTTTGATATCAAGAAAAAGGGGCCGACTCCTCAAATTAGGGGCTCAGAGGGGCCAGAAGTCTTTCATCTTTAACTCTTTAATGATCAATATTTTGTACTAAGTATACATTTTGAGAAGCAAAGATATCAATTTTAACAACATGCAACAATATGTTATAAAATTTTGATCTAATGTTACGTAATAGGGGATCGCCAGGTGCCAAAATGCTATATTAATTATGCTTTACATCTCGAAAAGGGAGGGGGGGTATTTTTATAAGCAATATTGAACAAAACATGTTCAGAATATTGGATATAAAAACCAGAAACTTTAGAATTAATGAAGATATACTTAATGTCATTTTCTTTTAACAAATATCTCAGTCAAAATCAAATCTCATCTTATCTAGAAATTCAACGGAAGACCTACTCGTTGCTCGCAACGAGATCTCATCTAGTTAAGGTCTTCCGTTTCCAACGGAAGACCTTATTGTTTTCGTTCGGTTTCTTTTTCCCTATTATTATTATTTTTTTCTTACCGATTTTTGTGCACGCGAGTTCTCGGAAACGGCTCGGTCGATTTTTATGAAACTTTCAGATCTGATAGACAGTGATCTGAACCTTATTGGAAATTTTTTATATGTACGTCGTCACTTCCGGTCATGAGATATGGACGATTTACTGATTTTTAGAGGGTCAGCTTGTCCTGGTAACTCCTCCTAAACGACTTAAGATATTGAGTCAAAATTTTCAGTGAGAGTAGAGGAAGGTTCGCTGAGTTGCATAGGAGTTGCAAACTTATCTAGCTTAAAAGACACCGGAGATCGGTGGGCCCAAAAAATGTCTCAGAAACATCTCACAAAGTTTGACACCTTTTATTTCATATCTTTTTACCTGTTCATAATTTGTTTAAACATATTGAAGAAAAGTTGTGCATAATGTAAAGAGCATTTACATAATACCAAGAAAAAGGGGCTGACCCCTCAAATTAGGGTCTCAGAAGGGCAGAACGTCCTTTTGTGATATCTCTTTAATGAGCAATATTTTGTTATAAATTACTGAAGCAAAAATGTTTATCTTAACAATTTGCAAAAACTATGATCGTAGGTTACGAAATTAGGAGCCATAAGAGGTCAATACTTAATCTTTCCATTCTTTATACCCCAAAAGGGAGAACTATTTTGATAAGGAGTCTTGAATAATTTAGAATCGTATTCTAAACAATAGACAACCATTCAACTTTTGCATTTATAGCTTTTCTTAATGTT